CCCCCCCCCCAACATCCACCTCCTCATCTCACACAGCTGCAAAATGAAGCCTCTGGACCAGGAGGAGGGTTCAACTGTTTATTCTCTCTTTTTGGTTTACAAAAAAACGAAAGGCACCCTTTGATTGGTTCTGCTGGAGCTTCGCCCTGAGAGGCTCCTTTTTTTCCAGGCCGGGGGGGGGGGGTCAGCTGGAGAACGGCGTTAGAGGTCCTCCAGGAGCAGCTTCAGCCCGGATGGTGGCGAGCGTTTGAAAATAAAAGCCAGTTTAATCTGCCAGGAGCTAAGAACGGGAACCAACGCACCGCTTCGGTGACAAAAAAATGACAAAAAATGATGTCAAACAAACAAGAAGAACAACACAAATGGATAAAAGGGGAAAAGAAATCCACCTGTAGGACAGGAACTTTGAAACTGGGACCAGAGGCCCACTGGGAGCAGAAGGCAGGCAGGAGGTCGTGGCTTCAGAAACTAAACGAAAGACACATTTCGACCCATTTCTTGGATTTCGGGTTTTCAAAGTGCGACTTTAAATGAAGATCTTGACATTTTGAAAGCAAAACTTTCATTGTGTGCTATATTTTGCAGCAACGAGAACCAGAACTTTTATTGCAGTTGAGTCGGTGAGCAGTTTGAGCCCAGCTGTGGATCCAGATGTGGATTTGGGGAGGGGATGGAGCAAAGAAATCCTACTTGAAGGAGGTGAAAGTTGGCCGATCTGCTGGTGCAGGATTCTTTTTTTCAGCTGAATTAAAGTTGAAATGCGTCACGCGTTTATACAAAACTCAGCTAACCAGGATTAATTTCTTGACCGATCACATGTCAAATAAATAACTTCTTGATGAACCCAGCCGTGTCTTCGCGCCATCTCGGGGGTTTAAGCCCCCCCCCCTCCACATCTGTACCACAGCTGCCTTTCACATTCACAAAACAACTGCCAGAGGACCTAAAAGACGCAGCAGACATTAAACCCATAAAAGTAGTTTGGGCTAAGAAGCTTTAACTAAACTGGGCAAAGCTGGTATTCTTTAGCATTCAGGGATGAATAAAAAAAAAAAAAGCATCCATAAATTAATCAAGCTTAAAATATAATATTAGATCTTTTTTAGTTCTTATAGCAGCTAAAGCTGGTTAAGTAAACTCCTTTTCTGTGGATTAGACACCTGTATAAACTCTTGTTTTTTTGTTTTTTATTTGCTCATTTTCTGGTTTTCTTGTTGGTCGTTATTCACTTCCTGTTTCATTTAGTTCGTGTCCCCCCTCATTTCAATCTCTGAACGCTTCCAAGCTTTTAGCTGGTGTCTGTTGGTTCATTTTTCTTTCTTTTTGGTCCCCGAGTTCTCCCCCCCTCCCCTTTTCTCAGGTTCTAGTTCATTAGCAAATCTACCGGGAGCGTCTCCCAGGCGGTCAACAATCCACAGCCACTCCAGAAAATTTTGCAGAAAAATATGTCGGATATATTTCGTGGTCTACCTTAATAGAGCTGTACACAAGACGATAAGAAAACATACATCTGATTGCTCTTCTTCACATTGGAATATTCAGAAAAGTTCAGGCACAATTCAGGGTTAATGCACACGACGGGATGCGCTCCAACCATGAGAGCAGAACACGGACACACACCTCCACAAACAGCAGACTCAATATGGCCTTTAGGGTTCAGAGTCCTTCCAAATGAAGCACGAAAACGAGACGGGAGCATTCAGGAGCCAATCGGGCCACAGACTACATCCTGTAAGAGTTACAAACGTGAACACGGGCGACGGGAACATTGAAAACTCACAAAGACGGGAGGCCCGTTCCGAGCTTCTTTCGAAAGAAGCGTTAGAAAAAGAAGAAATATTCCTATAAGTCTGAAGCGGAGCCGCTTCTCTGCTGATCTGCAGGTCAGCCGAGAGGGATTTTGGCAAAAAGAAAGACGAGCAGAGCTTAGACTAAAGGGGTGAACGGGGACTCTCAGAAGCAAAGCGAGACCTGACAAGAGGAAGTTCTGCTGACGGAGGAACAGTCAGTTTGTAGGCACCGAGTAAAGCCGTCGCCATCCGGGTTGTGCTTGGTGGTCAAAGGGGGGGGTCCCAGGACACACGCAGGCCATTTCTGTGGAAAGTTCATTATTGTCCAGCAGCAACTGGGGGGGGGGGTAAAGGTCAACCAGGGGCTCCCACTGGGGCAGGACCTGGAGCATCTCGCTTTATTTTTAAAAAAAAAGTCAAAAATGGTGAGTGGTTGAAATGGCTTCGGTCTCTGTGAGGGTGTGGGGAAGTGGGGTGAAATCCGAGGTCCGGTGGGAGTATTTAGGGGGACGTGGTCCCGTGTTAATGATGCTCTCAGATGTAAGCCCTGCTTAGTAACCACGGATTAAGCAAAGGAAAAAAAAAAAAAAAAAAAAAAAAAAAAAGCACAGAAAAGCCTAAAGGAGCAAAGCCTGGAGTGACTCAGCATCATCCAATGCATAGGTGTGCCGGATGGGGGCGGAAGCTGCCACCGGGGGGCGGGACCTACCGGTAACAACCTGAACGATGGGCTTTCTTACGATTGGCTCCTGAATTCAGAGCCAGAACTCCAGGCTCGGCTGGTTTCTTTTTTTTTCTTTTTTTGTGTGTATTGATGGCGTTTCACTTCATTCCTCGAGTAGAAAAAACCAGCACTGAGCACAGGCAGCCCCTCGTCATCCACGGCCGGCGTTTTCTTCATCTTCCACCACCCCACCACCACACTCACGCCACCGTGTCCCCGGCCTCATTATCTCATGGTGGAAGACGCTCTGAAGTAGGACAGGAACTTGAAGCAGAGGCTCACCACGAAGTACCAGATGTTCCGGGCCATCTGGGACCGGGCGATGAAGACGCGCCAGATGAGCACCACCAGGATGGTGTTGAAGGTGTAGCGGATGTTCCTCAGCCTGCAGAGACAAGAGACGGGGTTATTTTAATCCACACATCTGATAATCATGTCCTTTTGACTCCTTTAGATTCCCCTCTAGTCTGTTTTTAAATGGTTTTAGTACTCAATGCTGTTTTTTTAAAGTTCTGGAAGTCCAACCAGGGACAGGGGGAGCAAATAAGCCTTAGCTTGAAACTTTTATACATGGCTTTTATGCTCTATTGTTTTAAACAGCAATGTTTTATGCAGTTTTTCCTCAGGAAAAGGAAATAAGGAAGCACTGGAATGATTCAGACAGGAACTTATATGATATGTGCGCAATTAGTGGAACATCCATGTATCTGACAAGTGCCGACCCAGACTGGGAAAAATCTGTGAAAATATTGCTGGCTACAGAACGTTGACGCCGTAAAAATGACTGATAACAGACGGAAAGACAGAGGATGAGTGATTACGAGAATGACGGCTTCCGTCAACATTTTCCAGGTTTGAGTGGCGACAGAGCGTCTTTTCAATTATTATTTTCAATTTCAATTTTCAACAACACTGAGATGAGAAGACCTTAGCTGTCGGGTTGTCAGAGATTAAATCCGCCCTGTTTAGAGTCACAGGTAATGGTTTAAATCAGCCACTGGTTTAACCTCTGAGCCCGGTTCTTAAGATGGGAGCTTTTCGGAGCGGATTCCCTCTGCACCGGCACCCGGAGGCCGGATTCCTGAGGACTTCTTACTTGTTGAGGTGTTTGCGTGCAGCAGGCAGGCCCGACAGCTCTTCGTTGAGGACGTATTTCTTGGTGCCCATGCAGTAGTTTTCCATGTACTCTGCCCAGTGCAGCTGACGCACGTCGAAGTTAAACACCGGGGGGGGGGGGGGAAACAAACACAGCGGCCCCCGTCAACACCGGCTGCCGGCACCCGTTTTCCTCGGTTTGGATTTAACGGCCGCCGACTTTCTGGGAAGTGAAGGACTGACTCGGGCTGACGAGCGTGTCTCCGAGAAATGCTAATTCCTCCAGACAGATACCCGGAACAATGACTGTGTTCACCACAAGCCAACCCAGAGGTGAACACAGACACCAGCCAACCATCAGACATGAACACACTGAGGGGAAATGGTCCGACGTCTCTGGAGAAAAAAGGAGGGGGGTGGGGTTGGGTCAGTGTAACCGAAGCACAGACCTTCTTATCCTCCGGGCTCATCTGGGCCATCAGCATGGTCATGTTGTCCGTCTTCCACATCCAGGAGTGGCTGGTGAAATATTCCAGCACCATCATGGCCTTGTGCAAGCGGGAGATGTTCTTCATCATCCTGAAACACACAACGCGTGAGCACCGGGAGGGGGGGAGGGGTGGGAAATGAGGTGACGAGACAGAGGGGTGAGGTGAGAGAAAGAGTGGGGCGTTGTGTCAGGGTGTTGGGAACAGGAGCAGAGCTGGACTGTTGAAAAAATACGGGGATCTCTGAACTCTGGACCTCTGTCCTGAGTTCAGGCTTTAGAGGTTTCCCCGCTTCAGCTTCAGCTGAAGCAGGATCCAATGGCTTCGTTTCAGACGGTGCCAAGGACATGACTTGAGAAGAGCACCCGTTTAAGAGGTTATTTCAGGGGACAGTTTGAGGAGCACAGTGCTACGAGTTTGTTGCAAACAGCTTCTTAAAACCTCTCCCGCGTTTCTGGAGAACGTTTAAAAACTATTAGGAAAGGCTTGCCTGATTTAGATAGTTTAGTTTAAGGTGAGCTAAACGTCTCCTAACTGGAGCAGAAAAAAAAAAAGCTATTTTCCAAAACCATTTGTATTGAATACTATTCAATAGACCTTTTTATAGTATGAATTAACTTTAAAAACCTGCCCGCTGTGCTAGCAGAGAGTCAGAGTGCGTTTATACTGGGAAATTGAAAAAACAGCCCTTTTCAGGCTATGATTGTACAGCATTTGTGTTTTGATCACACAAGTACAAAAGAAAACTCAATCAAAGGAAATTGCACACAGCTGGCCCCGTCCCAGCTCCCTTTCCCCAACATTTTTCACCATAAAACTAACTCTCTTCCCAAAAAATGTTACTGATCTCTCAACAAGCTCGTCAATCGCTGCCAAAGGAGGCTTCAAATTAAACGGATTATTCCGGACTTCCTCTACAACGCCTTGTTGAAAACATGCCGCCGTTTCACAGCTGCGGACCCTTCGGCCCTGCTGCACGCTGGGAAAAAAAAAAAAGCCTCATCTGAGAGGACGCAGGCGGAAAATGGGACGACTCACACCTGAGCCCACTTTGTTGATTAACTGAAGCCGTTTTTAGTCATCACTCCAGCCGAAATGAGACCAAACCGGGAAAAATGACAAGCCTGAACAACACTGAAATGGCTGAGGAGGAATTACTGATGTTCAGGCTTCATCTGTGGCCCGCTTTTAATTCCTGGGATAAGAAAATCTACAAGCAATCCAAATGAACAAACCGTCGTAGCACTGTGCCGAGTCGAGAATGAGATTTTCCCCTGGAGGCAGTTATTGGTACAAATAGGAAAAGACTAACTGGTTTTATTTGAGCACATTCCAGGAGGACAGACGCACATTAAACTGTCCGTTTGGGATTTTGCAGACAAGTTTAATAAGATCAGCTTCAGTCCGATTTTAGATTAATGGAGATTAGAGCCGTCGTCCTCCTGGTGACTCCAATAAATCCAGTTTACATCCTTCATTTTTCTTGGGTTAGGCCTCAAATTCCCAACAGTGTTTGGTTAAGATGTAGGAGAGGTTTGGGTGAGTATGTAGGAAACAGACAGGGTCGATACGGTGAGGCTTAAAGAATTTGAGCCTGTTATTCCAGCAGCTTCTGCACCTCGTATGAATAAATGGCTTACAGTTTGGACGTTTCTGGCACTAATGAAGGCGGATCGAGAGGCTCAGATTCTTTAAGAGATGGGAATGAGTCAAAATATGACACAAGCATGCTTAGTTGATCAGCTCAGGAGAGGGAGGGGAAGCGAAAAGAAGCAAACTGGATTCAAATCCCACCGCTCCAGCGTCAGCGAGCTACAGCCGGGAGCCGAGCCACTCTCAAACAGAAAAACAGTGAGGCTCCTTTGGCGGAAGAATTGGAAATCAGAAGGATTTTGGCCTTAAATTTAGTAAAACACCAGCTGCCTGAAATCCCGTTGGCTTAATAGGGCTCGAGCATGCAGTGGTTTTACTCTCAGAGATGCAAAGCGTCTCCAACTGAGCAAAGTTTTCCGGATGGAGCCCACAGATATCCCCTGACTTGGAGAGAGAGAGGTGAGGTATCAGGTTCATCATGTCCACAGCAGTCTTCTTTGAACAAAAAAACAAAAAAAACAAAAAAAAACATGCTTGTGGATGTGGAGAAAACTAAATGTCATCACACAAAGTCCAGCTGATGCCATGAGGTCAAGCCAAGACACAGCAAACATGGCCTCTTCTGCCCTGGACCCATCCTCGTTTCCACAATCCCAGAGAAAAGCACACAGGGTGGGAGGGTTGGGTTTCGGGGGGACAACGTGGGAGAGGTGGGAGAGGGGGCTGACTGGCAGGAGGAAAAAGGGGGCAGTTGTAAGCTTACCGGGGCTTGTGGCCCGTCAGCATGAGACAGCCGTCATAGAGCAGGGCGGGCAGCGTGTGGCTGACAGTGGTCCAGTACTGATTAGTAAAGGGGTTGGAGCGCAGATTGACATTGGGCCTTCTGAAGGCCTGCTCTAAGGGATTGGTCTTGAAGGTCATGTTTATACAGTACTCTGTGGGGGGAAGAGATATACACAAGTGACGGCACACGGAGGACAGAGAGGGTGAGGTGAGGAGGAAGGCCTTTTTCCCTCCTCGTACGGGCGAACAAAGCAAAGCCTCCGTCTTTGCTACGTCGCCACCTGAGGCCCCGTTGGGCCGGCGGCAGCTGAAAACAACAAACTGAGGTGGCAGCCAAACGGAAAGAGTGCAGAACCCTGCATGCCCCCCCCCCCACACCTCCCCCCGGTTTGGGCGGGAGCGCGCCGGGTTATGCATTCTTCAAACTCAAAACAAAAACCGCTGCGAAGTTAGCCGGCTACGCTACAAGAGAAGTGAAAGGAGGAAGCAGCAGAGGTGTTCAGGTGTGCGGGGGGGGGGGGGGGGGGGGGGGGCTTTTGCTGTTAGGACAGCACAGGTATGCGGCGTCCGAGGCGACGAAGGGGCGGTTACCTGGGCTCTCGTCCAATCAGCCTGAGGTACAGATCATAGAGGAAGGCCGGAGCCTTGTGGCTCACAGCGATCCAGTACTGATTGATTAGGTGATTGGATGTGAGATTAACATTGGGCCGGCGGAAGGCCTGCTCAAGGGGGTTCCTCTTGAATGTGGATATTACATGGTACTCTAAGAAAAAGAGGTGGTTTAACACAGGGGGATCAATGAGTTCTCAGACATTCTGGAGTTACACTTCATAGTTACACTGGTTTTCAGCTTCTTTCGTGCTGAAGCCCACAGTAAGAAAGCTTTATTTTTACGCTCACACAGCCCACATTCTGGCCCCTTCGAATCCAAATTTCAATTTCAAATTTCAAAACACTCAAAGTAAGCTTTGCATCCTTTGGCTATAATTTTGTTGACTTTGGTATTGTATTTTTTAACAAGAATTATTGCTCCGTGTGACACAACTAGGTCATGATTAAAGAAGTGGGCTGCTCTAATGGGATTCCCACTTCCCCCATCAGGACTTCGAGGACAAAAAAGCAACCGGGAAACACTGCAGCTCATTGGTTGAAACCCCGGTTGAGTCAAAAGTCACCGTTTTATAACAGAAACAAAAAGGGAAAATGACATATCTGAATCCCCAAGCATTACTGGGGGCAACAGGGTCCAGGAACATGGCTGCCATCTTGAAGGCTGCCATATTGGCTCAAGGGGCAAGTTCATTTCAATTGAAAGGCGGCTAAGTACCAAGTCAAACAGGAGTGGAATTGTCTCAGAAATCAATAGCAGCAATCAGATTTGAACAGCTCTTATGGCTCAGATGTTATCAGCACAGAAACAGGTGGCGTTACCAGCCATGTCGGGCTGTTCGATGCATTTGATGTTCAGTCCCTGAACCACATTCCCAGTTGTGCTGCAGCTTTCAGTGTTGATAACGTTTGAACCACAAGAAATTTTGCACATCTGGTTGCAGAAATTCCCTTCTTGGTTAATTCTGCCCTTTTCTGATATGTTACAGGACCTCCTTCCCATTGGAAAAAGCTGCCATTGTTCCAACATGGCGGCCATGTTCAGCCTTCACCAGCTTTCATATTCAGACACGTCCTTTTGTGTCTGGAATAAAAGGGTGCCCTGTGAGTTTTGGCTCACTGTGTGCAGCGGGCAGGCTACAACCGGCCTGATTAATGGAGGGGAACTCGTGGGTTCCACCCGTCTGCTGCCACAGCTGGAGGGGCGAAGAGCTGCTCTCCTCACAGAGAAAAACCTTCACTGCGGAAAATCTGAACTGTAAACCTCCAGTTGATCAGGAGGCATCACATCCCCGTAAGATGGATAATCTTAAAACCTCGTAAACAGCTGGCTCACAACATGAAACTGCAACTCTGATAGCATTTGATGGAGATTTGGATATGAAGATTTACTTTTTTTTTCTCCATTAAACCAATCCTGCCACACTCCACTGAACCTTTCGCTCTCAATTCAGACTTAAAAAAATTAAATAAAAACTCTACATCTTTTATTCTACATATTCATAAACGAAAATAAATAAATAAATAAAATAAGACTTTATGTTAGTCTCTTTATCGGTTGTACCAGATAAAAACGAGTTGAGTCTGATTGAGATCATATTCTGGATACATTTACAAAAATACTTGTTCAGACCCTGTTTACAGTGTCTGGTCTATGATTACACGGGCAGAACTCTGTCTCATTTTCTCCTTCTCAGCCAGTAAAATCCTTCTGTATGAGCACTCCTATTGTTTTTACCAGGTTTCTCAACAGGTGGATCAGAGCTAATCTTTTATTTGTTAAATGCTTTGAGCTTTGAAAAAGATCTGATGTTGGGAACACTTAGAACGTAACAGATTTTAGTTTGGTTTAAGAGCAAATCGATGCTCCCAAATCTGAACCTCTACCTAGTAATTAAAACCTTTTCTACTGATCTGAAGCAGTAAGGGAACAAAAGCGGGAGCAGGTGTGGCAGAGAGGGGATCAGATTCCAAATCAGAGCAGGTCACTAAAGCTGAAGGCTTTCAGTGTCGGGGGCGTTTACACGGTCTGTGTTCAGGCAGGATGAAAAGAAGATGCCATACCGACTTCTCCCCAGCGGAACGGGTTGATTCCTCCGGTCGTGCAGTTGTAAACCAGGATGTTCTTCAGCCTGGAAGGACAAACGGGACGTTTCAGAGCTTTTAGAGACAACGTCTCGACAAAAACCTGGCGGTGGTCCTCCTCCTCTGACCTGTTCCCGGCCTGGGACCCGGAGTACCAGCCCGCGGCCAGCGTGGCGTTGATGACTACGTCCACGGGCACCAGATCGGCCACGGCGTCGTTAGAGGCCCTCATGGTGCGCAGGATCCCCTTTCCAGCCTGTACGGGGGGGAAGGGGGGGGTTAATCTATGTGTTAAAAAGAAATTCACGCAAAAAACATGAAAGCAGGCCGTTGAAAACTGAAAACTGACACAAAGGGGCACATCTTGGTGTGAGAAACCAAACCAAAAGTGTTGTCAAGTGGAGCTTTGACAGCTCACACAAAGTGCTCGGGGGAGTCTGTCAAACGGGGGGGGGGGGGGGTTCGGGATCCAGATGTGGCTACTTCATTTATTGGTGCCCAGACATCAAACCCTTTATCCAATCTTTTAGAACGTGTACATAACACAAAAATAAAATAAAAAAGGTCTTAGGCTTCGATACTCACTGCGATGAATATTCCACTGGGTCCATTGAAGTTGTCGATCCAGCCCTGAAACGGTATTAAAAAAGCCATATGAGTAAATCTGAACCAATTAACTGATTAGCTAAACCTAAATCCTCAAACAATGACCAATTAAGCATTAACTAAACCACATAAACTAGCCAGCCTGAGGCTAAGAGAGGAGGCACCTGCTCCACAGAATCAGGCCTGAGTCACGGCTAAAGTCAGACTTCCCTGACTGGCTCTGTGCAAAGCCGAGCGGCATTTCTTCCCTCCGCATTCCTCAGATTCCAGCAGCGGCGGCGGCTGCTCGGCCTGGTCGGGTGTGGGGGTGCTGAGGAACACTGGGACGCTTGTTGGCCTTGCCCTAACCCTCTGAGCCTGGCAGCATAGCCGCACTGCAGACGGGCGTCAAAGGAGGAAGGATATCCACCAAACTGCTCTTCCAAAGTAGGGATGGGACGGTTTCTGAAAACCGTCCGAACCGTTGGGTTGGACTGTCTCAGTTCGATTCGCGTGTGTTGCGTTCGGTTCAGGGAAGCGTTTACACTCCAGACCAGAAGGTGGCGCTACTGCGCCCAAAGCCAACCACCAGTAGTAAACAAGAAGAAGAAGTGAAGCAGCGTAGCCGATAAAAATCAGACGCGCCAACAGCAGTTTATAGGTCTGCTGTATGGACCACTTTGCATTTAGAGGGAAGAACATGTTGGAATTAGCACCGTTTCCTCAATTGCAATGCTAGAATCTCACCTACTTTTAACCTAAGACTGTCACAATGTTGTATCAAATGTCAGACTGCTTTTTTCTTTCAGTTTTAACCTGACTATACAAGACATAATAGATTTTCCTAACAATCAACATATACCGAACCGAACCGAAAACCGTGACCACGAAACCGTGAATCTTGCCGAACCGTGGATTTTGTGAACCGTCCCACCCCTATTCCAAAGCAGCATTTCCCCCGACTCTCTCCGGTTTTACCGAAATCTGAACGCCCCTATTTGCTCATTCTGCACCGAAACGATGCCGACTAAGCGCTCACTCACAGGGAACGGCTCCTTCCAGCTGGCTCCCACTATGGAGGGTCTGACGATGGCCACGTTGAGGTCTCCGGCCTCCTGCAGCACCAGGTACTCGGCCAGGGCTTTGGTGTAGGTGTAGGTGTTGGGCCGCTCCCCGATAAGCTTGGGAGTGAGCGCAGACACCAGGTCGTCGTCCATCCAGCTGGAAGGCAAAAAAATAAAAAATACAGTCCGCCATCTTTAAACCAGAGCGGTGAACCGGCGCCACGGCGGGCCAAAGTCAAGGCGACAAGGAGTCGTTCGGAAAAGATCTCACATCCAACAGGACTTTATTCAGCAGAATTCCCCTTTAAAAAGCGATTCAATCTTTTGGAAGGCGGCTAATGCTAGCAGAGAGACCTCTAAATGGCTGCGTTTTCATGTCACCTGATGAGGAAATAACACATATGTGTGGAGCAGCCCGACAACAATGCTCACAAAGCTGTTCCCCATTGTCATCACTTCTGTTCCTGTCACCTGTTCGGGCTCAGAAACGCTGCTTTTCCTGATCTTGGCGTCGGTAAAAGCCGGTTAACAAGAACACGTGATTGGAGTCCTCAATTCATACACCAAACTGCATCTTTCAAGCCCATTTCTTCCATTTATATAGCATGCATGCTCTTCTTTTACTCCCCAAAGAGTCTCCTCCTCCAATCCTAAGATTATGGGTGAGGAATACTTTAAGTTACTCCTCTTAAAAACAACCTTGTAAGGATGTAAACCAGGTCGTGTGTAGCAGCACGGTCAGTGTTTATGCGCTCAGCTCACATGTAATCTCACCATCTGTGGTTTAAAGTCTGCATACGGTCCGCTAAAGTACTATACATATACAAAAATCCCTTTTCCTTTCTCGTATTTGGAAAAAACATTGCAAAAAAAATGAAGAAATGGTCGGGATGTTAAAATTAAACGCATTTGAACCAAAGTTTATGCTCTCCTTAGCAGACCCTTTATGTGTTAAAGGGGTGGTTCCATGCATGACTCACAGTTGGTTGAAAGCACCATCCTGCTGTCATAAAAGCCATTCCTCAGAATCGCGGCACTAATCTGCCAACCACAGATTCCTAATGCTTCACTAATCTGCCTCAAAACCAGAGACATTAGAGGTTCTGGGCAGCTGCTTCTGATGCGTTAATCTGCACATCTTCCTCCCGACCTGAGTAAATCCTAAATCCGTTCGGAGCTCCCCCGGTCCCGGTCCGACTTACTCCAGAGTATCGATGAGTCTGCGGTAGTCCACGGGCGGGGGGTAGACCACCTCCTCGATGATCTCCCGGTCGCAGTGGGCGTAGGCCGTGGAGATGTGAACGAAGGCCTCCAGGTGCTTCATCCTGTGGGCCAGGGCCAGCATCTTCTGGGTGGCCTGGACGTTCAGCTGCATGGCGTCTCTGGGAGGGCGAGAGCGGATCAGGCGGTGGACCAAAGAAAAGGATTATGGGGGGAGGGGGGGGGGCACTCACTTGAGGGGCTCGTTGAAGCGGATGGTGGCGGCGCAGTGGAAGACGATGTGGACCTTCTCCGCCAGGACGCTCTGGTCCCCTTTGCTCAGATTGAGCTCCGACTGCGTCAGGTCGCTGTTCACCGCGATGATCTTCTCCGCAAAGCCCGGCTGCTCAGCCTGCAGTCTTTCAAACAACTGAGGGGGGGAAGTATACAGAGAAAAAACGGTTGGAGCAGGTGGGAATCCCATATGAGTCCCCATCTTGAGCCGATTTAAGCTAATTCGGGAGATCAAGGCCAAGAAAAGACATCTTAGTCTAAAAACAAAATACAAACAGATTGTTGCTCTCTTCTTTGGGGATGGACAGCATGGGAAATTCACAAAAACAGAGGTCAGATGCCTTTACTGAAGCCATCTTCACCAAACAGAGAACGTTCCCACCGGCCTCAGGGAGAGGAGGCCGTCCTGTATTGGGGCTGCGGTCTTAAACTTTAAATAAATAATGAATAAAGCCCTGACTTTCCCTCTCTTCATTTAAAGCATAATGCCAAAACAAAGTCCATGTGGGACTCAGGAGATTCAGAGACTGGTCACACAGAAGTTTAAACCCAGAGAAAGTCTGAGGGAACAGCTGGAAACTCTGTGGGACTCGAGAGAATAACGAGAGAAAAATCAGCCGGAGGGAGAATGGAAGCTGGTATCAGGACCAAAGAGTTTAAGCTTATTCTGAGGGGAAATTTTTTTTTTTTTTATGTCTTTCTGATCAATTTGGTAAGTAGTCTGCACGTCCCTTCTGAGAGGAAAAGGGTGGTTTACTTGTCTTTCTGTTAAATTTGGTAGATAGTCCCAGCTCTGGGGGGGTGGGGGGGGTGCACATTCAAAGCTGCAGAGCAGAACCAGTTTCTTTTGTTTGCCCGACTACATCCAGGTGTGTTCACGCAGCTTTCTGTCCGGGACCACGCCCCTGGGGCCCCAACATCCATCCACCCCACCCTCTCACCTTGCAGTTCACCATGTCGGCTACGCGGGCCTTGGGGCTCTGCCCGGCTTTGGAGCGGACCAGCACGTAGACGGCCCCCACCTCCGGGCAGGACCTCAGCAGCTTCTCCAGCAGCACCTGCACCAGAAGATACACGACGGCCTCAGGAAAAAGTACCGAGACAGGAAACAGGAAAGAGTCGAAACCGGGGAACCAGCGTTAAAACGGAGGCGTGACTCTACCTTTCCCATGAAGCCCGTGGCTCCGGAGATCAGCACGCTTTTCCCTGCGTAGTACTCCGGGATGGTGACCATGATGCCGGTGGTCTGTCAGCTCCACAAAGACACTCCGCCTGCACACACGATCGCAAAAGGTAAGGCCGGACATAGTCCCACAGCTTTCCTGTTTGGTCGGAAAACCTCAAAAACCACGACGGCGAGGCGGCAGATTGGAGCTTCAGGATGTCAAACCAGCTTCACCACTTTGATCGACTCATTCAGGGAACTGAAACAATCCAAGTTTGAGGGAAATAGAAGGTTTTTTTTAGCAGTTTCTGCAGGACTTTAGTCTAAAATCGCCTCTTTAAATGTTTCTTTCAGCTGACAGGAAAATAGAAACAAGCCATATTGGTAAAAGTAAACTTTATACTTTATATCAAGTCAAGCTAGAGGCTCAAAAGACTAAAAGTTAAAAAAAGGAAAAAGAAACAATACCCATGTTATTGGTTTAAGAATTCCAAAAGTCACAGCGTTGCCAAAATAAATGAAAGTGTGAATATTTCAGCCCTGGTGGACCGGGGCCGGGCTCAGACAGGTTCTGCTGGTTGTTTAAGCAGCTCAGACCCGTTCAGGCGATAACCTTCATATTAAGAAGATAGCTGCCGCCTCAGAGCCTGTTGTGTCAATGCAACACTTGTCCAAACAAGCCCAAAACTCCTGGTCTAATGATGTTATGGAGGCAGGGCCACCGGCCTCGCGAAAAGGCAGACAATATGTTGGAAGAGAGAATAAACAGACAACCACAATTAGTTTCCATTCATTTAAACAGGACCTTCAAAACTGATTTGAATCCATTACTCTTCTTTCCTTTCTTCATGAAATATATATAAAATATACATTTTTAATGATAATAATATTTTTAGAACTGCTTGGATACAAAAAGTCATTAAAATATTAAATCTCTTTTTATTTTGATCTCTTAAGTGTAAAAAGTGGCAGAAACAAACAGGTTTCTCCATTTACTGGGACTATCCAAGTCAGAAAATGGCTGACTCTGCACTTTGCCGCTTCAAAATAGGACTAAAAACCCAAAGAGAGCATCAGTGCTGCACGTTACTGGGTAAAATAAACAATTTATCAGATGCAAAAGACTAATTCAGATAATAGGAAAGATAAAAAACTCCATAATACAAACATCATCTGCATTCTTTCTGCAGTAACAGGATAAAAAGAGCTGGAAAACTCCACATTTAAACTCTAATTTGTTAAATTCAGCCCTTTCCTCCGGTGGGAGAAAGGGGGGAAAGTTTGAGCCCAGCTCTCTCGATCAGTTTTTAAAAGCACGCCTCCACGTGCACGTCCCCACACACACTGTGCACGGCAGGGTGCAGGAACTCGGAGCCAAATCGACAAGAAAGGAGAGCCGAGGCGACGTCGGCCGTGTGTGCGTGTTGCCGAGCAGCGTGTGCGCACGCCAGCGAAAACAGGACAGCTTTTGTTGCCTTTGGTGGTGCCCATAACGACAAAATGAAAATGAGTCTTGTGATCCGAGGTCAGCTGTAATCACATGGCTTTTAAGGCCTACACCCCACCAAAAAAGCACAAAAATCCATAAATATTTGAATCCATAAAAAAGGATAAAAATGAGACCTTTTATTAGTTTAATTAAACAAATTAAGACGTGCAGATGTACTGAAGACAGTTTTCCACCCTTATGAGATCACTCATCCTTCATTTTCTGTAAAAACAGGCCGTGATCTGGAGGATTTATCCCAGCTCCAGTCAGAAAACATTCATTTCCACAGGCCTCATTAACACCGGGGGGGCACCGGGAGCTAATCGGCCTCCTCTGGCTGAGAGCGCTGCATGACCTTAGGCTGGAATACTTCACTCATTCAGTGCCTCCCACCCCGGAGAGGCCTCGTTTGACTCCGGGATCAAAAACCAGACGAGGTCGAGCTGCTTTTGGTCAAAACGGGCTTTCATCACCTGCTTAAAAATAATCGCAGTTTGAATGCAAAATCTTTCCTATCTGAAATAAGGAAATATAGAAATAAAGAGGCGCTCGCAGAAAAACTCGACAGACCGAATCCCAGATAAAAAACGGAACCAATCAGCTCTCCTGTGAGCTGGCGAGGCCACAAAAGGGTACTGAACAGAGATATGTAGATTAGCCACGCTTCCTGCTCATTTAGAGAGCATAAAGCGGCCTCCAGGTGTGCTAACCGTGTGCGTGTGCATGCTAACCGTGTGCGTTTGTGTTAACCGTGTGTGTGTGCATGCTAACCGTGTGTGTGTGTGCGTCAGGGCTCGGATAAACCGGTTACTCTGCTTTGCACAGCCGGACCAGGAGGTGCTCCACCTGCACCTGAACTAGCGTCCCTGTTCTGGTGATTTCTGAACGGAGGAGCTCTGAATAAAAGCCCTAAAGCAAAAGTAAATAAATAAATACATTTTAAAAAAGGGTGAAACTTCAACCTCAATGCTGCCTCTGCATTCTGCACTCCGTGTGCTGCTATCCCGAATGATGAAGATTCAAGTTTCCAAATAGATAAATACACATAAAAAATCCTTGATCCATAGCAGGAAAAGGGGGCACCTAGAGTGTCTGGCGCTGCCATGGCAACAGCTCCACGATGGCTGCGTGGGCTGAGTGACTCCTGGATGGAGGCGGGGAGCCGCTCTGTGGATCCCCCTCAGTCGCTGGACACGTCCACTCATCCTGAGCCAACTCCGACTCCTGCAGAGGCCCGGGCTGAACTCCGAGAGGCTGTCCGGCCCTCGTTTAAAGAGGAGGGGTCAGGAAAACATATTCTAAATGATCTTACGGCACAATTATCAAAGCACCGGCAGCAGCTGAGCCCTGAGTCAGGCTCATGGAGCTCATCTGGAGCTCAACGCAGGACCCCTAGACTCAATCGGGACCGGTTCACTCCAGGTCAGGCGGGAAAAATGGCGACTCGGCCTCAGAAAAATCAGTCAACCAACACGGGCAGCCGCTCAAATATTACAAATCACGCTGATCTGTCCGGAAATTGACCTCCTGCAGGATTTTCATGCAACAAAATGAACATCTGGTGAATTCTTCAGGGAATACCAGAAGTCGAGCGGTGATGCCTTCTTTGAAAAAAAAAAAAAAAAGAATATAAATGTTTGGTTACTGGCTAAGCAGGACGTCTGTGACAACAGGTGGAGCTCCTGGAGTGGGAGGAACTATTTACATCGGGATTTTTTGGGCCAAAGCGTCTTTATAAGTCAAACTCAGCTTTTTTTCTTCGTTTTAATGCTGAAAAAGCGACGCGAGTTGCATCCGAGTGTCCGAACAGGAGCAAATGTGCGTTACCCTTGTTTGCCGAGAAAAAAAGACAGATTTTTATGCATCTCTGGGATCAGGTTTGTAAGTGCAGGCTTCCTCACATGCAAATGCTGCAACCAATTAATCGACTTCTTCCAGCTGGATCTGGTCACAGCCAGTCTGATCTAACCAAACACCAAAAACACCGACTATTCCATCAAAAATTCATTTTAAAAAAGTTGGAATCACGAAGAGGAAACATAAACTCATCCTCCTTTATGATTAGCACTTCATGGTGCTGTAAATGAGCCACAGGAGCTCAGAGCAGCTGCTGAATATCCCACAGGCCCTGAACCCACCGTGCTTTTCCTTATTCATCACGGTAACCTATTAAAAACAACAAGCCTTTTTCCACGAACAAAACCAACAAAGGTCACAATAACGGCCATAGTCACTGAGACAACGTTTTTTAGAAAGTTACAAACACTGGAGCCAGTCTCAGTTGCCGGGGGGGGGGGGGGGGAGACAATCAGCCTCCTGTGAGAAACTCTAGTCTGCATCACAATGAAAGCGGCTGTGTGGTCATGGGCCAGAAAGCAGCCAGTAAGCAGCCTGAGCACAGCTGGAACGCAGCCGGAAAGCAGCCAGTATGCAGTCCGATCGCAGCTGGAAAAGCAGCCGGAAAGCAGCCGGAAAACAACCAGAACGCAGTCGGAAAAGCAGCCTAAAAGCAGCCGGAACGCATCTAGTACATAGTCAGAACGCAGCCGGAAAGCGGAAAGCAGCCAGAAAACGACCAGAACGCAGCCGGAAAAGCAGCCAGTATGCAGTCAGAAAAGCAGCCGGGAAGCAGCCGGTATGCAGTCAGAACGCAGCTGGAAAAGCAGCCAGAAAGAAGCCTGAAAGCAGCCGGAAAGCAGCCAGTATGCAGTCAGAACGCAGCCAGTATGCAGTTGGAAAAGCAGCCAGAAAAGCAGCTGGAAAACAGCCAGAAGGCAGCAGGAAAAGCAGCCGGAAAGCAGCCAGAAAAACAGCTGGAAAAGCAGCCAGAAAAGCAGGCGGAGAGCAGCCGGAGTTGTCTGCTCCAGAGCTACGGGGCTTCCAGTCGGACAGCCAGTGGATGGCTGCTGAATAATTGAAGGGCTGCTTAAAGCCTGAACCGGCACCTGTGGCCGGAGCTTTAACTTAAACAAACCTAAAGCTCAGACAGTAGCTAGAAAATCCCGGCTAAAACAGGCAGAAAGCCATCGCCCCGGCAACAACGTGCTCCTTCCAGTCAGTGGAGGCCACTTCCTGCCCAGCTCTGGTCTGACCGCCCCCCCCCCCCCCCAGTTCAAACCAGCCTCTTTAGGGAGGTCAGGAGGTCACGGTAACATCCAGCCAGTTTTAATTAATTTAATCTGAGGAGGCTTTTTACAAACCAGGTCCAGGTCTTCAGCCAGCCCCAACATCAGTTTTAAGAGGCTAAAATCAGACCAGGGTCCACCAAAAACCACCTAAATGAATTCCTTTAGTCCAAGAGTTGTACAGGTTTGCTAAAGTGGTCCATTTACTAAATGGCGATACCAAGTAAGATCCAAAGTAACTAAAGACTCATCTGCAAAGACACTTGTCAAACTCGGATTTGACGAGTCTTAAACTCAAAGTTCTGGACCCGGATCCGGTCCCAGATGGTCTACATGCTGTTTTAACCCGCTTTTAAACCATCGCCAGCATAGTTCAGAACAGAAACTCCTCTGGAATTACAGTTAGATCAAGATTGACCATCACCAGGATCAGGTTCTTAAACCTAAAACCTAAAACCTGTCCTGGTTTCACCCCCAACCATCCAAACAGGACAGCTGAAGTTGTTTTAAGAGAGGAGAAGGAATAAAAAAAAAACTGTCTGGAGGCAAAAAACGAGGGCAGCGGATCTCGTGATGTTCATTACAGACAGCCCCCCAACATCCCCCCCCCCCCCCCCCTCCTCTTCCTCACCCCCCCTCAGCAGCCACGCGCACACCCACACCCAATAATATTAGGCTGTAATGGGATTAGCGCAAAGCCTGGGAAATGGGGGGGAAATTAAAAGTGATGCACCTCTGCTAAAATCCAAAAGAGCCTCCTGCGTGTCAGGAGCTGCTCATCTTCCTGGTTCAAGTTGGGGGGGGGGGGGGGGGGGGGGGGACTGGCAACGGAAGGGTGGGAAAAGAGACACCCCAAAGAACCGGAACCGTCGCTTAAAACCAAAGAAAGTCCAACTTGTCCAACGTTACGTCTCCATATTTCCAAAGTGAGCGGACCGTTTCAGCCCCCCCTCATTCCCTCTCTTCCTCCCCCCCTCCCACACCTCCCTCCCTTCCTCTCTTCCTCCGGGCGCATCTCGGTGAGCAGCCTGTGGCTCCGGGTGCGAAAAAAAAAAGCGGCTACGTACCCGAAACGTCGACGTCTCTGGCCGGAGGCAGGAGTCCGGAGGCTGGAGTCTAATGTCTGGAGTCTGGAGGCTCGCGAGTGTCTCTCGCGCGAGGAAAGGCGGAGTGGCCGCGTGCACCGCGACGACACGACGTGAGTTGAGTGTCGGAGGCTCAGCAGGAAGCCACAGGGGCGGCGACCAGCCGCGGTGACGTCACCGGGGCTCCGCCACAGATAGGAGAAAAAAGCGAAGAGGCGTCACTCCCGAGAGGGTTTAGTTTTTTTTAGTTTTTTTTTTTACAGAGATTCAACTAAAACCCAAAAGGCAGCTTTCTGACCCCAGGTCACCCCCCCTTTCTGTTACTTTGGATGTGGAGTTTAAAGGGCAAAGGTCACAGGGTTGTCATTTGTGGCACAACAAAAGTGGCTTCACGCCTTTAAAGACTTTCCAATGCAATTTCACCAGATTTCCGACTTGTTTCAGAATCAGAATCAGAATCAGAATCAGAACTTCTTTAATAATCCCAGAGGGAAATTATTTTGTTAATGGCTCCATAAATAAAACAGCGGCATATACATATATATATATATACAAAATTCCTCATATAATATAGATATGTACATAAAAACTATATGTATATACATAGGTCAAAATAAGTGGTGAATAATGTCACTGATTTCCCCCATAACTGAGGTGTTTAATTTTGATTAAAAATGGCCGCTGCTTCTGGATTTTTTAAATGTGAAATGATGGTATTTTCTGGTCTGATAGAGTTCAATTTGTTGGCTCAGTCGCTTCTAAAAATCGACAGGACAGATGTTTAAAATGGCTTTCTCATCACAGCTGAAACGTTCCAGATGTTCTTGATATGAAGATTGAAAATCAGTCTATTCCAGATATGAATATCATCCAGATTATTAAAACTCTTTAATGCAAGGGTTAGCAATCATTTATTGTATTTTTAACCACAGAAAGTAGATCATTTTTGCACGCTTTATTTGCTGTTTTCGACTGGATAGTGACCAAAGTGGTCTGCCACCATAACAAAGTGAGCTTTAAATCATAAACTTCTGAGACCTGTTGCATCATCATACAGGATAATCAGATTAAAAAACGGTTTTGTAGAATATTTTCCCTTTTTTAGCACTTAAGGTTGATGGCAAAAAGAGTTGTTAAAGAGCCAAACAAAGATTTAAAAACACAACTTAAGTTTAATCTATTTTCTCCTGGGTCCGGCTTTCCAGGGTTAAAATCTATCCTCTGTGAAATTACTTAATTCAACTTCAAACCAGAATCAAATTCAAGGGATATTTTCCCCCACTGAACCTGGTCTGAGATAGCCCATGTGCTGACATATTTTTCTTAAACATAAAAAGATTTTTCATCAAATAGTTACCACAATAGTTACCATAGGTCCAAATTGCAGACTTGTCGCATCTAAATTTGTTTGACTCTGAATCTGGTCTTGGTTTATGTAAAGACCTTTTTTCCCCCACATATAAATAAATCACCATCAGGGTTTGAGCTGCAGTTTGTTGCAGTTATAACCAAAGCCAGAAACCACTTCCTGTTTCTGAATAAATTAATTAAAAATATATATATATGTATATATATATTCAAACTTTATTCACAAATAAATGCTTCTCTGTGGCCTTTAAGTGAAATGTCCCCCCAAAACACAAATCTGTCAGTCACAAAAGCTCATTTTACTCTTGACCAGCAAAATAAAGTGTTAGTTTTACCTAAATTTGACCTTTATCCTTTCCGTAAACCCTTTTTTGTGGCTTTTCGCACAAGAGATCTCCACCATTCCACACAGGGTCTTGAGAATGTCAGCCTCATGCAAATTTTTGTGGATCTCTGTCACTTCCAGACAAAACGCATAAAAGTTTGCCCTCTTGTGTTCATTTGCTTTGTTACTAGAGCAGAAATAAAGCCCGTCTGCAGGAAGATGCGAAGCAGACCTTCATAGGCTCTCGGCGGAAAACTGAATCCAGTCTCTTTATTACTCAGACGTTATGTAATACACACAGTAAGGCAGTAAGGCATAAATAATACACTGAGTGGATGTGGTTTCCTGCTGAGCAGCATGTGGATTGTTCTTTTGGTGAGCCAACACCTTCAGTTTAAGACGACCTCCTCCCGTTCTGGTCCGGTACTACTCTCCACACACCGACCCGCGGCTGGAGGGGAGGGAAAATAAATAAATAAAGCGTAAAAACAAGCAGATTTTAGCCAAAAGGTGCAGCTTTCTGCCGGTTCTCACCCGTGAGGCCGGCACTGGAGGCCGTCGGCACACGGGCAGTGATCCCGGGGGCCCTCCTGGTCCCAGGCCAGCAGGTCCATCAGCAGGTTGGGGTGGCTCAGACAGGACTCCCCCTGCCCCGGTCTGGGGTTGCAAACTGGAAACAAAAGCTCTGGGGAAAGCAGAGAGGGAAAAGGCGAGAAAAAAAAAAACGTGTAAATCGACAGTCAAATGAGCCAAAGACTTCTCCCAAACACTAAAACCATCAAAGCACCAGCAGTTTTCAGTTCGAGTCCTCGCTTTGATTCTTGCAGGCTGGTTTTACGCATTTAAAAACAGACCAAATGATGGACACTGTCAAGTTATGTCTGGTCATCACCAAAAGGGACGCTAGGCACAACTTAAGTCCTTTTCCATTGTGTTTTTTATTTGTTGAACTTGATGATCAGATTTTTCTTTTTTTTAGGACTGGAATTAGGATTATGTTGAAAACTTTTCAAAAGTAAATTGACCAACAGAAGTTGAATTAATTCAAACAAACATTTTTAAATCAAACATTTTTAGTGTGGCTCAACCATGAGCACAATATAAACTGAACATTACCACAAACCATATTACAATATCTTCCAACTCAACTTCTACCTTTTAATATACAATATCTTATTAACTAAATCAATTCCTTCCTTACTAGTTGTGTATCTGGTGATTGGACCAGGATCTGAACCTGATTGGCTGAGAGCTGGTCTCCTCCCTTGTCTGCCACACAGGTGTGCGCAGGTGTTTAAACCACAAGAAGGCCCACACAGGAAGTTCCAGCCCCCAACACAAATTCACTCCTCTTTTTTCCTACCTTTTCCTCTTTTTTTTTTTTTACATTTTTCACATGACAGACACCTAGCATCTTTGTGATCAAATCAATAGTCAGTCTGCACAGAGGTATGAGTTGATGGCGGCCTGGATTAAGGGGGCGGAGCCTCAAATGGGCATTGTAACCAGTTGGACCCCTCCCATGGCCCCCCCCCCAGGAGGAGGCTCACCTCTCTGGAAGGCGCAGCAGAGGCCCGGGCGGCAGTCGCTCTGACCCTGGCAGATGCTCCCCTCCGCCCCTCTGGTGGCGTTGACCGTGCACTGGCCCCACACACACAGCTGGTCCGAGCAGCACTCCTCGTCCTTCGTGCAGGGCTGTGTGGACACACACACACACACACACACAAACATACACACGGAAGAGGTTTTTGCTTTGCAGCGTCTTATGTCACTTATTAAAAACGACCGCATCAAAAGCTGGTTTGTCTTCGGGGCAGTTTGACCCATTTCAGTCAGTTCCTGTCATAACTTTTAGTTTTCTTTCATATAAATGCCTTAAAATGACTTGGAACGGTCCATATAATAATAGAAATTCCCGAACTAACATCCACAAATAAATGTGTCTGTAATAATACACCAACATGTATGCCTCTGACGCTTTGTATAGTAAAAATGATTCAGAATACCTTCTAATTTGACTGAAAATTAGCTCTATTAGACCATCTGATGATACAGATCAGAGATATTTTTGTGAGGTTCAGGCAACACGATCAAATTCGATCAGAATTCTGTTTTCATCCCCCGATTGTTGCAAAGCCAACATGATGCAGCCACAGAAATCATTTGAACAAACGAAAATACAGCTAATAAAAACCAGGAAACTGACAGATAGTTTACAATTGGGCCAGTTTGAGACACTTTCATGCATGCCGTCTTCTTATTGAGGAATGACTCTAAATATCTGACATCTGTCTTCTTTCTCTCAGAATATAAATAAGGGCCTCATGTTCACACATATGGATTTGGGTAAATATGTGGGTTTGTCGCCTAACTTTTTAAACTTAATCATTTACATTATCCACCACTTATTTTGACCTATATATACACATATAGTTTTTTTATGTATATATCTAGCTATATTATATGAGGAATTTTGTATATATATATATGTACAGACATGTATATATGTATATGCCTTTGTTTTACTTATGGAGCCTGTAACAAAAATAATTTCCCTCTGGGATTATTAAAGTATTTCCGATTCTGATAACAGCAGCAGGAATGGAGATCCGGGGAGCAGACTGAGCGCTCACCATGTCTGTTGGTATGCAGGGGAGGCACTTGGAGTTCTCGATCTCATACAGGCAGTATTTCAGGTCCCCGCAGTCCTCGTCCACCATGCAGTCCTGCGGAGGCACAAAACCAGCCTGAAACATTCGGAGTTCATACCCAGACAGATAATGGGGGGGTACTGCGTCACGGTAACAGCTGCCCGCAGCTCCACTGCGATTTCTGGAGGTGCGTTTCTGCCAGCTGGTCCGTCTCCATGGAAACAGCGTGATGGGATGACATCACTGACGTCTGAATAAAAACACAGGGCCCTGGCCCTTTTT